CCATAAAGAGAAAGAAAATTATGAGCCAGTTGAAAAGGTTGAACTGTTCAATAGCGTTGCTTCAAGAGATGCATCTTGATGATAAGGAACACAAAAAGCTTAGAAGGGAATGGGTGGACCAGGTGTTTAGTGCTTCATGTGATAAGGGGAAGAAGAGAGGAGTAGCAATTCTGTGTCATACTGTAGATCATTTGGTTTTAGTCTAGAGAAAATACATGCAGACAAAAACGGGCGCCACGTAATGATTGTGGGTACGATTATGCACGTTAAGATTACCATTTTAAACATATATGCACCAAATGAAGACGACCCTGGCTTTTTCAAAGAAATATAATTGCCACTTATGCAGAAGGATTCATCATAGTAGGTGGAGATTTCAATTGTGTGCTGAAACCCAATTTAGATAAATATCCATTCGATCAAGGACCAAAGTTACAAAAAACTAAGATGCTAGGCAATGTGATAGAGGAGCTGGGGCTGGTGGATGTATGGCGTCAAAAGCATCCCGGAGAAAGGGACTATACTTTTTTCTCAAAAGTACACAAAAGTTACTGCAGGATAGACCTTTTTTTGGTGCTAAAAAAGGATGCCTATAAAGTTTTGAATTGTCATATAGAACCCATAACACTATCAGACCACGGGCCAGTGGTTATGTCAGTAAATTTAGAGAACGACAAACAATTTAAACAGTGGAGATTGAATGTTTCACTTTTGAATAACTTACAGATAGTTCAAAACATAAAAAAGACTGGAAAGATTATATGGAGTTTAATGATAATGGCGAAGTGTCACCATCCACTTTGTGGGAAGCCGCAAACGTTGTGCTCTTGCTTCTAAAGTAAAAAAAGACAGAGATAAGGAACAAAGAAATTTAGAAAAACACATACAGGTTTTAGAATTACAGCATAAAAAGTCAAATGATGGTAAGGTCTTGAAAACTCTTAACAAGTACAGACAGACTCTAAGTGATTGATATATTGATTGACAGAGTGATTGACATATATATTATTGACATATAAAGCAGAAGGTGCACTACGCTTTGCTAACCAACGGTATTATGAATCAGGAAATAGGGCCAGTAGATTACTGGCTTTTCAGTTGTGCAAAGACCAAGCGAATAGAACAGTGACAAAGATAGTGAACCCTTCTACTAAAAAAATGGTGTCTCATCCTAAAGACATAGCAGAAGCTTTCTCTAATTTTTATGAAGCACTCTATTAATCAGAGAACAGAGACAATAAAACTGAGATGATTAAAACTTTACTGGTGTAACCGGTGTAAAACTTCTGCGTTGTGTTATGTATTAAAGATGACCCAAAGCCATCCGAACTGCTGCGTTGGAGCTTTATTCTCTCTCTCTCTCTGCACAAAGCATATTAAAACAATTCGTTGGTCCTCCATACACACATCTCCATCTCCTCTTTCCAGAAGAATTCCAAAAAGGGAAGCGTATGTATTAAAGAAAAAATAATAAAACATGACACACCTGCACAAAGCATATTAAAACAATTCGTTGGTCCTCCATACACACATCTCCATCTCCTAAAACAGCCCACAAACACAGGGTTACAACTCGTTAGCGAACCCACGCAAACATAGCTAATTCCGCTATGATGCTAAGCACATGTGGCGGGTTAGCAAGACAACAAAAATACATTTACACAATTAATATTACAAAAATAACCGACTAATGCTGTATAACAGACAAATATAAATAAAGTAAAAGCAAATAAACCTATGGATGGCACAATTGGAAGTTAATATTTCACAGACAAAGTTTTGGCTGACATCACCCGACCTACCTCTTTCCAGAAGAATTCCAAAAAGGGAAGGGGGAGGGGGAGTCACAAACAGATAAGGCAATGGGAGAAGGAGGAGCTACTAGGACCCCGACAGGCAGTGTGCTGAGTGCCAGAAAACTAAAATGCAGGCTAGAGCTCTTGTGCAATTATATTACCATACATGAGTGCATACACTTTTCAATCTGTTACACTCACCCCTGCAGAATTGCACAAAGCCCTGCAACCATCCATCCAGTACACAGGCCACACATACTAGTCCAGCAACAAAAGCTGCCTACTACACCAGGCTAGAAAAGAAAACCAAGGTTGATCAGGCCTCAGGATTCTACACAGGAAACAGGGATGCCATATACACCCCCATAGAGCATGATCTACTGCCTCTTCAAGGATGAGAATAACCAAAGAAATAATCAAAAAAAATTAGACAATGGAGAGATACTCACTACAGCTGGAACTCCTTTTACGGAAGAAAAAAAAATGAAGAAAACACAATCAAACATGGATAACATGCCTCTCAGGGACATCACCATCAAGCACAGATTGAAGCTGAACCATAGATTCAATCAACCTACATACGGGCCTAATAACTCGGCCAAATCTAGAAGCACGAGGCGCGTGCGGTGCGTGCCAAACGCGCGATACAGGAACATGTGTCTGTGCAGAAGTACTGTGTGAATTGGGACCAGATGCATCAGTCGAACCAATCACACTGGGTGCCTCTAAGGCAGGGCCAGCAAAATCAGGGTTGTCAACCCAATCATCTGTAGGTCCTACAGTGACATCCGAGTGCTGCGAGACCCATGACGAGGTACGGTCCCCTACAACTGCATTTACGGAAGAGACAGCACCATCCAACGGGGAAACTGACACCACATCGCTGAGAGCTGCTTGCACAGGGCAAGACACATCCGGAACCACACCAGCAGCCACCCCAATGTCCTCCATGGAGCTTCCATCCAGCCTTTCATTCAACGGGAGAAAGTTAACCTCCAACAGCAGATTCCGGTGCACCACTTTCTCATTCCCACAGTTGCTACGGATCCTGTAAACATGGAACACTGGTTTGGCTGCGACAACTGTGTAGACTGTGTCACACCACCTATCCGTTAGCTTGCGTTTCCCACGGCAGGCCTTGTTCGCCACCAACACCCGGTCCCCCACCGACAACGGTCGACCAATCGCCCTCTTGTTGTACTGATCTGCCTGGAGTGTTTGCGCCGACTTCGTGTGTTCCTGAGCAATAGACATGGCTGTCTTGAGATCCTTCAACAGAGAGTCCACAAAGGCGTCATAGTTACCCACAGTGTCATCTAGCAAAACACTGCTGAACATTAAATCTACTGGCAGCCTCGGGACACGGCCAAACATGAGATAAAAAGGCGCAAAGCCAGTGGTCTCATGAGCTGTGCAGTTGTAAACAAAGGTCATCGTCTGGAGCATCTGAGGCCATTTGTGTTTCTGCCTAGGCGGCAAGGAGCGGAGCATGCCGCCCAACGTCCTGTTAAACCTCTCGACTGCACCATTCCCCATAGGATGATAAGGGGTGGTATGAGACTTGCAGATACCGGCAAGTTGAAGCAGCTCCGCGACCAGCTCACTCTCGAAGCTTGTGCCCTGATCTGAATGTATACGCTCAGGGAAGCCATAGACACAAAAAAATTTGTCCCACAGCGTCCTAGCTACTTGCTTTGCTGTCTGGTCTCGACATGGAAATGCGTGGGCTAACTTCGTAAAGTGATCAGTCATTACCAGAACATCCACAGACTTGTTGTTGTGGCCTTCTGCGGACCAAAAGTCGATGCATACCAGTTCCAATGGAGCGGTTGTTTTCACACTCTCCATTGGGGCCCGAGCAGCTGGCTCAGGCGTTTTGCTCAGTACACATCTGCTGCACTTCTTGACATAATCGCGAACATCCTTCTCCATGTCATGCCAAAAGAACCGTTGACGGGTCAGATGGAGTGTGCGGGCCTGACCTTGGTGACCAGCGTGGTCGTGGACTCCAGCTAGGGCTTGACGTTTCAGTGTCTCAGGCAAAACATACTGAAATCGCTTGTGGTTTGTCAGCGTGTCCTTACTGACTCGATACAAAACACCATTCCTCAAGGTCAGCTTGTCCCAGTGCCTTAGTAACCGAAGAGCGGACTGGTTTTCTCTGCAACGCTCACGGAAAGACGGTCTCTGTCTCCTCACCACATAAGGTAGCACTGCCGCAATGGACGGGTCATGCTGCTGGTGTGACTGCAACTCCTGTAGTGACATAGCAGGCAGAGCGGGCAGGCCTACTTTCACCACCTCAGACAGGTGCTCTGCTGCCGACATAGCCCTGAGTCGCGAAGCAGATTCCCAGTCACTGTGACTCTCCAGCATAGTTGACACCTCAGCCTCAGACAGGGATGCCTTAGAGCCAGATGATACTCCAGCCAAATAGGTCAGTGTCTGCGGCTGGCTGGTCAAACGAAAAACATCTTGGACAAATCCGTCTGCAACATCACTTGCACACTTAAGCAGATCCGTGTATGGCTCTGATAGCAGCCGCTGGCCCAGTGGCTTGACAAAGGGGTCTCTGCTCAGCGTATCAGCAATCACGTTTAACCTGCCTGGAATATGCTTGATCCTGAAATTGTAAGGGGCCAATTTGGCCACCCAACGCTGTTCACAGGCATCCAGCTTTGGCTTTGTCATGATGTATGCGAGCGGGTTATTGTCCGTCCACACTGTAAACTGGCTGCCCTTCAACCAGTGGCTGAACTTATCACAGACGGCCCATTTCAACGCCAAAAACTCTAGCCTGTGTGCAGGATAGTTGACTTGGCTACGACTGAGTGACTTACTCGCAAATGCTACAGGCCTCGCCCTGGCATCTCCATCTTGGACTTGCGAAAGAACAGCCCCCAAGCCGTCAAGTGATGCATCTGTCGAGAGGATAAACGGCTTGTCGAAATCAGGGTGGGCGAGAACCACACAGCTGACCAAAGCATTCTTCAGCTCTGCAAAAGCATCATCACAAACTGCCGTCCAGTCCTCTGGGGTCAGCTGACGAAAAGTGCTGCCCCTTCCATGTTTCGCCCTGTTTCCCCTACGCTTAGCACCTGCAGTCAGACAAAACAAAGGCTTTGCAATGGAGGAACAGTTCGGAATGAAATGCTGGTAATATAAGACCATACCAAGGAACGACCGTATCCTCTTCTGGGATGGGGTGCAGCCATCCGACTCCATCAAATCAGTTTTCTCAAAGGACGAAATAACATCAACCTTCTCCTGGTCCACTGAGACTCCAGTATTATCTACAATGTGACCCAAAAATTTAACTGACCGTCTCAGAAAGTGGCACTTTTTCTGTGATAACTTGAGGTTGTTGGCCCTCAGGCGGCTGAAAACAGTCCTCAGACGCTCAAGTCCCATATCGACAGACGGTGCAAAAGACAGCAGGTCGTCCAAGTAACATAGGAGACTGGAAAAGTTCAAATCACCGAAAATGTTCAGCATCATCCTCATGAAGGACGCCGGACTGTTGCACAGGCCCTGAGGCAGACGATTATACTCATACAGGCCTATCGGAGTGGTAAAAGCTGTGAACTTCTTATCTGCCTCATGCATTGGGACATTGTAAAAACCAGACGTCAAATCCATTGTACTGAAAACAACATTACCCCCGAGTGCAGCAAGACAGTCAGACTGGTGAGGCAGGGGATGGGCATCTTTAACAGTTCGTGCATTCAACCACCTGAAGTCCGTGCAAACACGCAGGTCACCATTCTTTTTCCACACCATGACCAATGGGGAGGCGTAGTCACTCACCGATTTTCGGATGATTTCGCGCTCCTCCATTTCATTCAACACTTGTCTTAGCTTCTGATAGTGTGCCGGTGGGATACGCCGGTAGGGGAGCCGGAAAGGACGGTCATCCGTGAGGTGAATCCTGTGAACAAAGTCTTTGGCCTCTCCACAGTCAAGGGAGTCTTTCGAGAAAATGTCACTATACTCTAAAAGCAGACTCGCCAGCTTGGCTTTGTCAGCCTGGGAAACCTCACAACTGTCCAAGTCAATATCGCTCAACCCAGCATCATTCATCACTCTAGTAAGCCCACTGAGCGCGCTGGCGGATAGCTCTAGGCTGGGCCCAGCAGCTTGGGTTCGACAAGATCCCTGTGTGATGTTCAAATCCTCTATTGCCAAACACGGGAACACATCAGCTATCTTAGCATTTCGCCGCAGTGTAATGGGTTTCAGCGTCGGATTGAGGATCCTCATCGGGACCCAGCGATCACCCCACATAGCGGTGGCTAGCCTCCCCACCAAAATATTCTGTGGAGTAGAGCGAGCCGAGGTGGGCTCAACTACGACTGTGCTACCAGGAGACACGGGAACATCACCGGGGAGTCTCCCCCATACTAGGTGTTCGCGTTGCGGTAGGAGTGTGACACTACGCACAAGCTTCACTGTGCCAACCTTGTCGCACTGACCTGGGGCTTCCCACCGTGACACACAGCTCAACAGTTCCAAAAAGCGTTCACAATCAGGATCGCTGCTCTTTGAAGAAATCAGCTCCCAGTATTCCTTCCTCTTCCTCATGATCTGAAGGACTGACTTAATCACATTAGTGCCGACTATGAAGTCATCTCGTTGGCCTGGAACAACTAGAGTAGGCACAACAAACTTTGACTCATACACTTCAATTTCAAGATCGTAAAAACACTTTGGATACGCCGTCTTGCCCCCACAGCCCACAAGCACCACATTTCCAGGGATTAACTGAGCACTGGGTAAGGCTCCAGCAGCTCGAAGTTTCCTCTCTGCCTCTTCACTTAACGTACAAGACATGGAGCCCGAATCCAGCAATCCTCTCAAAGTAACCTCGCCACCTACCAGTACGGGCGTATAAAACAGCTCGCTTGATACGTCCATTTTCTGTGGACTAATGATCAACGGTGTCTGGCCCGCTGGCAAAAGCTGACAGGTGTTACTGTAGATAGAGAGTAAGTCCGGTTCACCTTCGAGGGCTTCTGTACCAGCGCCCACGCTTGCCCTCACACAGCGTGGAGCCTCTAGTTTAACGGCGTGCGGCTGGGCTTTCCTGACGCAGCCCCAGGATGAGACACACTTGGACAATCACTCTTGAAATGGCCAGGTTGGAAGCAGTGTCGGCAGAGCTTCAGTAGCCTGCAGTGGCTGTAAGTGGAGTGGTCAGTGTTGCTGCACACCTGACAGGCAGAGGGCACTGGCAGCCGAGGCGACCGCTGACGCTGCTGAGGCTGCATCTGGTGTGACACTGACTGTGGAGCAGAACACAGTGTGATTACTTTATTCAGCATGCTTACCACCTCACGCATACTTGGATCTTTCTCTACATGATTCACAGCGAGAGGTGGAGCTGCCTGAGGCTGATGACGCGAGGGGTGGTTTGCGTCCTCAGACTGCACATATGAGTTGTTCAACCGTACAGCCGACTGAGTGACCGCCACACAGCTAGGACTGTAAATGGCAGGCGGGTGCTGACACACTGAGGCCCCCCGCCGCAGGTCCCTCTGATGGTCATCCAAGCGCTCCTGGACTTCTGAGGCCAACCATTTCCCAGCTGGCTTGCTTTTGAAAGACAAGGCAAGACATGGATCTGGGCAGTGAGTAACAAACATCATCACGACTTCAGCACTCACGTCCTCAACACCTTTACCCCGCCTGCGGAGACACTCATCAGCGATATCTATGGCCTTATTCAGACGTACCCAATAATCCAGTGCATGCTCCCCCATTCTTGGCAGCGTGCCATAAAAGTCTGCCATAGGCATGCTAGAGTAAGGGAGTTCGCTAAAATTCTGCTTCAGTATGTCAAAAACAGCAGTAGGACAGTTATATGGGTCTATGTCTGGGCTGCTGCGCAGTGAAACCTTAACTATGTCCCTGGCTTTCCCCATAAGCCTGCTTGTCACTACTCCATGCATCTCAGCGGTACTGTATCTGTGTCTGCGCAGATAACTCCACATCAAATCTTCCCATTCGTGAACTGTGCATGTGTCAGTGTGATCACCTCTGAAGAACGGGGGCGGTGTGACATCTGATTGGACAACTACATTGAGTTTCGTTGCATCCAAGCACCCTCCGGAGCAGGTCCGTGCAGCAGGTACTAGGCCTGAATGACTGCCACTGACATCATTCATCACGTTGTCAGTGTCATGCACCCTATTTGTGTGTCCAACGTTAGCATACCCAACAGTACTAGCGTTTGTTACCTGTCCTGGTGTGTTTCTGACTGCCTGAGCGACCGGAGTGGAACATGCAACTGGACTCAAAGAAGACTGGCCTACCGTTTGATAATTGGCCCCTCCATCTGTACTCAACAAGCATCCCCTCCCAAACCCACTAGACACTTGAGCACCATCCATCTTGGACAATGACATTTCGACTGAAGTGACTATGTAAACAGTAACTTCAAGTTCAAAATGAAAACACTGCAAACCAGGCTACGAACTCAGTTTACCAGAACCTATAAACAGTAGCCCTAAAACACGGCATCAATACAGCTACACCACCACCTCCAACAGCAGGCGCGACGGAGTGTCGGATTCGAAGATCGGAGGGGTCGTGCGCGGGGGGGGGGGGGGGGGGGGGGGGGTCGAGGGACAGCACGCATCAACATCGGTGGCCATATCGGCAGCAGTCCCGGCAATCTAGCGAGCGTAGATCTGATGATCCGGGTCACGGCACCATTGTAACCGGTGTAAAACTTCTGCGTTGTGTTATGTATTAAAGATGACCCAAAGCCATCCGAACTGCTGCGTTGGAGCTTTATTCTCTCTCTCTCTGCACAAAGCATATTAAAACAATTCGTTGGTCCTCCATACACACATCTCCATCTCCTCTTTCCAGAAGAATTCCAAAAAGGGAAGCGTATGTATTAAAGAAAAAATAATAAAACATGACACACCTGCACAAAGCATATTAAAACAATTCGTTGGTCCTCCATACACACATCTCCATCTCCTAAAACAGCCCACAAACACAGGGTTACAACTCGTTAGCGAACCCACGCAAACATAGCTAATTCCGCTATGATGCTAAGCACATGTGGCGGGTTAGCAAGACAACAAAAATACATTTACACAATTAATATTACAAAAATAACCGACTAATGCTGTATAACAGACAAATATAAATAAAGTAAAAGCAAATAAACCTATGGATGGCACAATTGGAAGTTAATATTTCACAGACAAAGTTTTGGCTGACATCACCCGACCTACCTCTTTCCAGAAGAATTCCAAAAAGGGAAGGGGGAGGGGGAGTCACAAACAGATAAGGCAATGGGAGAAGGAGGAGCTACTAGGACCCCGACAGGCAGTGTGCTGAGTGCCAGAAAACTAAAATGCAGGCTAGAGCTCTTGTGCAATTATATTACCATACATGAGTGCATACACTTTTCAATCTGTTACACTGGGAAGACTTAAGTTAGCTAAAATAACTGAGAATGAGTCCAAAGCAATGAGAGACCCAATCACAAAAGAGGAAATTATAGAAACAATAGGAAAGTTGAAAAACAATAAGGCGCTAGGAGTGGATGGTTACCCAGGGGAATTTTATAAGCATTTCAAAGAGGAGGTTACACCTCTCTTACAAAGAGTATTCAATTATGCCCTCTCAAAGAACGACCCTCCAAAATCCTGGTCGGAAGCAATAATATCTGTGATCCATAAAGAGGGTAAGGATCCTACAAATTGTTCCTCATATAGACCAATAAGTTTACTTTGCTGTGATGTAAAAATTTTAACTACAATATTGGCTAAACGAATCCAGAAGTGGGTCCAGTATGGGACCTACTGAAATAAAGGTAGCTGATTATGAGAAAGACCTTGGTGTGTATGTTGATGCTTCCATGTCTCATTCTCGCCAGTGC